TGAGATTGAACTGGGGCTGGGATCAAACTCCAGGTACATGCCCTTGACTGAGAATCAAACCATGGCCCCTAGGAAAAAAACAACAACAAAAAACAAACCATGGCCTTTCAGTAAACGGGCTGATGCTGTAACCATTGAGCAACACCAGCCATGGCAGACAGTATGAACTTTTTTTGTATGTCAGAATGATGATTTAAAATTTATTCATCATATACATATATATATATATATCAGTAGTTTGTTCTTTTTTATTGCTGGGCATTCAATTACATGGATATACCATTATTTATACATTTACCTGTTGATGGGCATTTGCACTGTTTCTAGTTTGGGGCTGCTATTAAGGAAGCTGCTATAAATATTTGCATCTGAGTTTTTGTTTGGAAATAGGTTTTCATTTCTTTGAGGTGAATACTTTGAAATGAAATGTGTGGGTCCCGAGGAGGATGGTGTGCTTCCTAAGAAATCACGAAATGATTTCCCAAAGGCGTCGGACCATTTTACACTCCCACTAGCAAAGTACGAGAGCCCCGATGCGCCACAATCTCATTAGAACTTGCTACTGTGAGTCTTTTAAATTTAGGCATTCTGGCGTATATAATGCAATTCTGATTTTAGTTTGCATTTGAGTGTCTTTTCATGTGCTTGTTGGCCATCTGTATATCTTTTTTTGTAAGATGTTCATTTAGATTTTTGTCCATTTTAAAAAATGGTTGTAGGTTGGATGTAAATAACTTTTTAAAAAGGAGTAAGAATTTGGAGACAACTTTACATTGGAGAGGGTAAGAGGGAACACAGGGCAGACAAACAGCCGGAGAAAACGGACAGGTTCGTCGAGGTGGGAGGTGGCCAGAGTGCCCATGACCTTGGCACTTTATTACCAGGTGATTAGATGTCCTAGTTTGCCTGGGACTGCCCCAATTAAAGCAATGACAAGTCCCGTATCTCTGAGAACACCTCATTCCTGGACACACTGGCATGATTGGTCACCTTATAGAACTATATGTGGGTTTATGCCTGGAATCATTAGACTGGTGATGGTTTTAACGCGAGCACAGGAGAGACTGTTGGTGGTGAATGAATTCTGAAAAGCCACACGGCTCCTCGTCAGGGGCAAAGCCAGTGCAAAATGCGGATATTCTGGCTCCTCGCCCTCTGTTCAGAAGTCAGTAGCTCGCTTTTAAGACAAGCATCTAGGGACATGGGAAAGCTTCCCTTCTGCTGTCGGAAAAGAAAACCAAAACCCTCCAATGATTGTTTTTTGAAATTACATGCAACATAGACTCATTTATTTGGCTGAAGTTTTAATTTTCTAATCAACTGTAGCTGTCTCTGAAAGGACTAAGACATTGAGTCTTACCAGTCATTAACACCTTAGTACAAAATAGCTGATTAAAAAGCCTTACCTAAGAACATGATTTGGTTTCAGAAAGGGTAGTGAAAAGTTTGGGTACAAGGCTGAGAGACTACCACTAAAGAAGAAATAGCACAAAAACTTGACAGGATTGGGAATGAAAGATGAAATTCATCAACTTAGTGTTGTGAATAGAGCTGTGTTGCTAGGCAGATGAGAGTGTCTGCGTGTCCTTGTACAGAAGAGGAGCTTAAGAGGGCCAAGAGAGAAGGAATTATTCTCCTTCCTTTATGTGGTGTTTAGGAAAAGGTTGAGCTTTGATTTATCTGCTATTGATTTGATACTTCATATATTCCTATGGTTCCTGATTTATTTATAAAATATCCCTAAGTTAGTTACATATATTGCTTCTTGTTCTAGTCCTCGTTGCTATTGTGTAACATGTAAACACAGTCATCTCTTTGTCTTACATGATCCCAGAGGAGCTAGATGGAATGCCTTCTTATAGAATAGATAATATTACTGCTTCGTTTTCATACACTGTCTTTCTTTTGAGTAACTTCCAACCTGTTATGACATTTTTCTTCTTAATGTTTATTAAATGCCCTCAGCATGCTCAGTGCTGTTGAAAGAATATCAAAGATACAATTCTTGCCAATAAGGAACATGCATATTAATAGATGAGAGACATAAACAGGCTTTCAAATATATATAAAATCCTGGAAGGTGACAGATTATTTTGTTTGGATGAGATAGAATAATCGAACTAATGCACACTATTCCTTAGCTATGGTCTTGTGGGGCAAAAAAAAAAGGAAGAAAGAAAGCAAAAGCATAGAGATGTCTCAACCTAAAACCTTCAGAACAATAAGCCTGGAAGAGTTGGTACTTCAGTTAGGACAGAAATCAACCATTTTTGCCAAAGTTAACCTTAGTTCTGTGAAACTCATACCAGAGATTTTGAGTCTCACACAGCTCTCATGTATGCAGTTTTAGCAATTCAAGGAGTCTGATTTTCATGTCATTCATTCAGCGATCTTTTTTCCCCTGAACCTACTGTGTATCAAGCCATGAATTAGGAGCTGGGAACAAAATGGTAAACAAAACAGATGAGTCCCTGCCTCACTGGCTCGTGCAGTTGGGGACACAGACATGAAATAAGTAATTATGCCAATCACAGTATAACTACTGTGATCTGTGAGATGATACAATAAAGGGACCTGACCTGGTCCGGGGAGTTTTGAAGACTTCTTCTACTTGAGGTGAGACATAAAGGATGCAGAAGAGGAAGCGAGGCGGAGAGGGTTCTGTAGGTAGAGGAAGCCGCTGGCATGACCAGTCCAGGAACTGAGAAAGGCAAGCGTGGCAGAGTCCAGAGCTTTGGGAACTGGTATGATTTGAGGGGAGATTAGAAAGGGAGGCTGGGCCAGATCATGCAGGCCCTTGCAGACAGAGTAGGACAATATAACCTCCTCTCATTTACTCTGTTCCAGGCAACCACATGACCAGGCAGTTCACCTGTTACTACATTCAGTCCTTGTAACTACGCGAACCCGTAAACATTCTTATCCCCTCTTTGACTCTGACACCCAGCCTCTGTCCTCTACACCTCCTGTGTCCTTGTTTTACACTGGAGGGAGCCATGGCCCAAAGAGATTAAGTGATGTAACCAAGCTCCCAGGGCAACTTAAGTCAGGACAAGCGTTCTGTCTTCTACCGTCCTACACATGACATTAGGATTCCAGTTCGTACCAACGAGGCCACAAAGGATTTGAATATATCTTTGGGGTGTATTTCATCCATAGTTTACGCTGAATAGTTACGTTGAATTTGTTCATGTTCTATAATCAGAGAGGTTCCATGATACTTGAGTGGACATTCAACACACTGGCAATTTTCACGCTGGTGGTAGGTTTGTGTAAGGCTCTTCCCCAGCGAGTCTAAGTCCCTTTCCACAAGAAGTACTGTATTTTCCCAAGGAGCACTTTTGACAAAAGCTACATGAGGTGAAAACTCTAAGCTTCTTGGGATTTCAAGATTTTCTTATGAAGTATTACGTGCCCTCCTTGAACGCTTCCCTTAGTCCTCTGGAATCTTAATGTTGGCCTCTGAATCAATCCCTCCTGGAAACACCTGGAGATGAGAGCCGGCATCACTGGCCGCTTCCTCCTTGTTGCTGCTGGTTCAGAGCCCAGGATCACCGAGATCAGAGGCTTCAGCTGGATTTCCTTGTCTTGGGTTCATATTGTTTTCAGAGCCCAGGATCTTTTCTGTGTACATCTGGGCAGTGTCCACTTGAAGAAAAAATGGGAGGCTTCAGACCTTCAAAATTAATGAGAACTAGGGACCTTCAATTAGTGCATAAAGTCCCAGTGAGGAGACGGCTCTTCAATGGCATAGAGATTAGGTTGATCATCCTTATAGTAAAGGGGTGCGCGGACTAAGAATGTGATGGAAAGATGGGAATAAGAAATAAAGATGGGAATAAGAAAATTAAGCTGGACCAATGGCTTTTTTCTTTTTTTCAGTGAAGAAAGCCCCACTTTTGATTTGTCCCAATTAGAAACATCCTGGTCATTCTTTTAGGGCAAAGCCATGATGTTCTGGAGAAAGAGCCACTTAATGTATTTGCCCAAAGCAGGGAAAGTGTCAGTGTCAAAGAAGGGATTTTGAGAGCTGCAGTGATCTTAGAAATGAACCAGCCCAAAGTCCAGTGTTATCGAAATGAAAACTTGAGACTCACTAAGTATATGTGATTTAGCCAAGAAGCCACCTCTGGCGAGTGTCAGCTGGACCTAGAACCCAGGTCTCCTGCCTGTATTTGTTGTACTTGTTCAATTTCCATTATGTGATCCACATTTTACAATCTGCCAAGAGAATATGATTGTGTGAGATTTCGCTCATTTGTTTTTCTAAAGTGGGCTGGGACTTAACTTTGAAAGCTATCCTAAACAGAACTAACTGTTTTTAACTAAAGAAGGGGGTGCACAGATAAGAAGACTAATTTGTTAAAGAAATGGTTGAGATCAAGTGGATTGAACTATTTTTACCCAGGAAACTTGGTTGATTGGTACGATATATGATCTTTGTTTTGTTTAAGAAATTGCCATTCAACTTTTAGTTTTTCAGTAAATGAAAAACTGCTGTCTACTGAAGTCAGGAAACAAACGGAGTAGTGTTTTCTTTGTGAATGATCAACTGCTTAGGACTTGTTTCAAATTAATGATATAAATAATCTAACAAGGTCCTTCATTGTACATTTCTCAGAGCAAACAGAATGCTGTGTGTTTTTATAACCAGATAGCTATTGGACTTTTTCTCTTTCCCACATTTGGATACAGATTGATGTAGAATTACTTAAAATGCTGCATATAAATTAAACATTAAGAGGGAGATAGGGAGAGGCTAAGCTGCCCCATTATAATCTTTAGTTCCGCAGTCACTGCCTCAAGGACACTCCACTTCATATCACATGTCCTTCTGAAAGGTGATCACCAAGGTTCAAGTAACATTGAAGCAGAGCAGGCAACTGCATAATTGATGGACCTTTTTTTGGGTTGTGTTCTTATTTGAATGAAAAACAGGAAAACAGAGGACTTCATACACTGACTCTCTTTCTTTTGTTCTTTCCTCACTGTCTTTGCAGATCGGGGCCCTGAAGGACTATTACCACTTCTACCATAGCAGGACGATTAAAAGGTCAGTTCTCTCGAGCAGAGGAACCCACAGTTTCATTTCAATGGAACCAAAGGTAAGAAGAACCAGTTGGGTGGGGATCAACAGGCAAAGCTACTGCATTTTTCATTGGTAATATCATACTAGGAGCTGATGACCAGCACGAAGGCTCAAATGTCAAGAGCTGTCATACTCTCCTTTGGTCCAGTGTCTTTGTTTCCTCTTCAGACAAAAATAGACGATGGCTTGCTTTTTCCTGCAGTGCCACTATTATTCCAGTTATAGAACAGCCCAAGAGAATCAGGAGTATGGGTTCTCAAGGAGAAAGGAGAATAAATGTGTGGGGGGAGAGATAGACATTGATTAAGAAGTATGAAGTATTAAGAATACCACACACTATCTTACCTCTTTACATAACAGATCTGAAGCTCTTTCTGAACTCTGTGGAGGGGTCTCTTCTCAAATCCTTAGATGAGCCCTTGGGTCACCATGAATCCTCACAGTCTCAGCTGGTGTTGGTAGAGCCATGCCATTGGCAGCCCAAGGACTAGACCATGTCTGGGACAAGAGGGATGCGGAGCACAGCAGGGAAGGAGCTGCCTCCTGCCCTTGGGGGCTCAGCAGGTGTCTTTCTTACATGCTTTCTTATGTATCTTTAGTCTCTGTCCTTTTGGGTTTTACAGACAGCATGTTCCTGGGAGAACCTAGAGGGAGAGAAGACATGTCCAGGTCCTCCCCCTCCATTTTAGAGAAGTAGAACAGCTTGCACCTGGGCAATAGGATGCTGAAGGGTATTAGGGAGAAATAAACTAGTAACTGGCAACAAAAACTTTGAAGTGAGTTGAGTATCTGTCCTTATTAAGTTAGAGGAATGGATGGACTCTGACAGAGAACTCTTTGGCCCCCCAGATATGGCCAGTAAAGAGGAAGAGAGAGTGGCTGTACCAACCTGCCCCCTTTCCTCTGTGGGCTCACTTTATTATTACTGAACTAGAAGCCCATTGCAGGAGGATTCCTGCAAGAATAGGGCTTCCTCGGACCAATCGCGCTGCCAAGCCCTTCCGCCCAGGGCTGCAGACAGGGGTTCTGGCTGGCGGCGGGGCTTAGGTGGCACATGGGGGGCCCCCGGATGGCGGCTCGTGCTGGTCTGCCCTGCCTGCAGTATGCAAATTAGCTACCGTCTTTATTGGTAGTTAATTTGCATATTGCACTGATTAGCCAATGGGAGGCATAGCGAAGGTATGGTCAATTACCATGTTTGTCTATTATTAGATTAGATAGGAAGGGATTTCCTCCCCCCTCCCCCCATTAAGATTGGGGTTTGTCATATGAGCTTATTTTCAAATAAATTGGTGAACAAGCCCTGACCAGTGAGCATAGCGATCCCACCTAGACATTCCTTGAAAATTGTATACCTTTATTAAAGCAAAGAAGTCCCTATTTGAATTAATATGTAAATTAAGCTTGCAGTTTGGAGTCCTGCCCTCTGTTATATACCATGGTTCGCCGTGTTTAAATTTTTTATCTGGAATATTATCACACAGTATTCATGATTGTGAAATCATATCTTGGTGGTGGTTAGAAAAAGCCCATTTATCATAGATCCCAATTTTCTGTGGGTTATAGGAACTTGCCCTAATACTTACACTCTGGTGGTCTGTGAATTGTAATTGTTTCCCCCTTCATCTCCACTCACAATTAAATGCTTTTTTGTAAAGCAGTCTGTTATGATGTTCCTGAATTAGCTGAGTTTTCAAAGCAACATCATGTTTTTTCTCTGTTAAGTAACTTTTCTGAAACTTTCTAGAACTTTAGTAATTAAAATGATTCCAATTTCAGACCTCATGTGCATAGTCAATATGAATTTGAAACACCAAGCACTGCTTGGTTTGGGAAGGAAGAACAGAATGTAACCAGATATTGTGTTCATGATGAAGGATTTACCGAATATGGAGTTATTCAATCCCTAATGTTATCTTGGGGGATCTTGTTCTACATTTCTTCTTATCTCAGTGCATTAAATAGCTTATGCAGGATCCAACAGAGACCTTGGATGATGGGATACGTAGTGCCTGGGATGTATGCCCTCCCTCAGCCAGTCCAAAAGAGCAGGTCATTTCGGCCAGCCCTAGAGGACATGCTCAGTTCCCCTGCCTCCTCAATCAAAGGGAACACCCCAGGGAAGAACCGCATCTTACTCTTCATTCTGATGCCTCCTGCCCTTCATTCACACCCAGCCATTTATACAAGAGGCCACAGGGCTACCAACTTTGCAGATACAATACCATAGATTAGGGTTTGCCCACAATTTCTTTCAGCCATTTCTTTAAGTCCATTCATTCGTATCCATATCTTGTATATGTCAGACCCTGCACTAGACTCTGGACACTTGAGGATATAGTGGTACCCTCAGGGAACTCACTGCAGGGTCTCTCACAGCAGCTTCCAGGGAAACCCTGGGCAATATAATGCTTCTCAGTTTTGGGGATGAGGGAGCAGAGGAGATGGGGTTCATTCCATTCCTTCTCCAGCTCCTTCCTCAAAAAGCTCAGACCCATTTAGTTATTTTTCCGTTTTAAATCTGAAAAACTTTTTAATTGCAAAAATGTTATGAAGAATTCCCATATGTGCTTCCAAGATTCTCCAAATGTAAACATTTACATTTTTCCATACTTACTTATTCATATTCTCTCTCTTCCATCTATGCACACACACGTATATATATATGTATATGTTTTTCCCCCCTGAAACTTTGGAAGCAAATTATAGACACGGTGGCCCTTTAACTGTAAATATTTCACTGTATACTTACTAAATCCAAGGACTTTCTTTACATAACCAGAAGTACGACAGTTAACATTCTGGCAAAAATCTGGATATTAACATCATTTCAGTATTGTTTTCTAATTAACAGATTTTATTCAAATGTTGCCAATTCTTTCTTTTCTGCACCAGGATCACATTTAGTTTTCAGTTTGCTGAAGTCCCCTTTGTATACTCTGTCCTACTTCCTTCTGTTTCCATTTTTTTCTGACATGAGCTAGGACTTTGAAGAGTGCAGGCCAGTTGTCTTGTAGACTGTCCAGTCTGCTGACGCGGTTTAACGAGAACACCAGGGAAGGGCCGTGTTCTCAGTGCAACGGATCGGGAGGAGCCCGATGCTGATTTGTGTTGTCATTCATGATCTTCACTTCGGCCACTGGGTGATGGTGGTGTCTGCCAGTTTTCTCTACTTTAAAAGGACCGTTTTCCCCCTCCTAAATACTAAGTGCTTGGTAGGCAGATATTTTGAGACTGTGTACATTTCCACAGGCTGACTGTATTTTTTACCCCCAGCCGCCCCATTGGGAATGCAAAGCAAGTGTCAGTGTGCCTGGCTTCCTTAGGCAGGTCTCCTTTCCTTTCATCTTGGGTGTGTGTGTGATGGGCGATCTGTGTGCTGAAGTGGAGGCACCGGCATGGTTTTGGGTGATCGGACCATGTGAAAGAATAGCTATGTGTGGAGTTGTATTCGATGGCCGTTTTCTCAAGAGGTAGGAAGTGCACACTGAACAGATGCTGGCTGTAACTTGTTGTAGTAAATTGCATGGCTCCCTCCTCCGCCGCCTACTTTTGTTTTTACTGAGTGGATTCTAACGAAGGAAATCCAAAAGTAACAAGTGTAAGAACAGCCCTCCTGGCGCTAAAAACATGCTGTGGTCAGCTGGGACACATGAGCCAGGAGAAGAAGAATAGCCTGGCTCCCATGTGTGAACATGCTATTATGATCAGCTTTGGAAATGGCAGAGATTCACAGATTTCTAAGATCACTAGTACAGTGATAACAGGTTTGCAGAAATTGCTGGTGTAATATTACAGCCGTTGGACCAGTGAGTCTTACAATTTCCTTTATCTATGTTTTTGTTTTCAATTGACCAACTTTTCTCCTAGGGACTAAGCTATATTCCAGAAACGGTAGTCTTGAATTAATATGCTCAGAAGCTTCTCATTAATCGGTTTAGAAATCTTTGCTGGCCCTGTGGCATTTTGGTCAAAGGGTATATCTAGAGGAGTGTTCTGAAATGGAAGTTTCTTTATTGCCCTTTTTAGCTGCCTATGTGGACCTGGGTGGGGGCAGAGGAGATAATTTTCTTTCAGTTTCCTTTTTACCCAGAATAGAAAAGCCAGAATACGAAATATCTTATTACATGGGCTTTTAAAAATGAAAAACATAAGCCAGGCACCCATGTCCTAGCCATGAGTAGTTACATAAGCACAGCTTCTTTTGTTGTGCTTATGTAATGTATTTCATTAGATTTACGTTGAAGGTTCTGGCTTTTCAACCTCTTACCTTTTCCAAAACATTTTCTGTCTTCACATCTATTTACAGGTCCATTTTTATCCAAGTCTAGGATAGACTCATCCCCTGCTATGGGGTCAGAGATGGACACCTCTCCTATCTTGTTTTTTTTTTTAAATTTATTATTAGGTTTTAGACTTTTAGATCTTGTGGGAAGGAGAGAGAGAGAGAGAGAGAGAGAGAGAAACATTTATGTGAGAGTGACACATTGATCAGCTATTTCCTGCACACCCCTACCCATACCTGTGGAGCCTACATCCTGGGCATGTGCCCTGACTGGGAATTGAACCAACAACCTTTTAGTGAATGGGATGATGCCCAACCGAGCCACACTGGCCAGCGCTCTTGTGGGTTTTTTTAAAGTTCATCTTCAGTCAACCTGCCTCAGCACATGGATGTGCATGGCGTTGTATCTCAGCTATGGAAAAATGATTCATGTCATATTATTTATTGTAGAATCATGGGTTTCTTATTAACCATCTCTTTCCTTTCCAGTGTTGGCATACTCTCCATCATATGCCTAAGAGGAATTTCTTTTTTCTGTTAAGTATGGCCAATGACAAAGTGTTCAGTACTAAACAAGGTAAACATTTCTACAATTGAAGAGATTTAACTCATTGAGTTATAATGTTTGCCTGTAACTTCTACCCACTGAACCTACTTTTGCCCTCCAGGCTTATAACATAACAGCTCATTGAAGTCCTCGCTTATTCTCCCGGAGCAGCAGTTGTCCCTCA